CCCGCCCGTCTGTCCGTCCGTCCGTCCCCTGGAGCCGATGGCTGGTGCCGCCCAGGGGAGCCGGCGCCTTCCCACCAGGTCTGCGTGCCCCGTCCAAGGACAGCCGTCAGACAAAGGAGACGAGCTTAATTAAGCTGAGTCAAATAGGTTTAAGCAGCTAAATAGAAACAACTTTTTAAAGTGCTTAAAATCTGTTTGCTTTTTTTTTTTTTTTCCCTTTGTGTTTTGATCCTTTCGGATATGTTATGGTGCATAGATAAAAATATTTCCTGCTTAGGAATTTGCTAGCTGCAAGAAAACCCCCGCGGACAAACCCAACAGCCTGTACAGAGTAAGAGTCTTCACTGGCGGTGCCCGTGGGTCCTGCGTGGCATCGGTTCCCCTTCAGGAGATTTAATTCTTCACGTGCCCAAAAAAGAGCCCCCGAGTCCACCTGGCGTGGCTGTCACCCTGTGGCTGTGGTGGTGCAAAGGTGCCACCGAGGTTAATACCCTAGATCTCTCCTGTTAGATCCAGAGATAATGTGGGGAAAACCCACAAGTTCTCGGGCACTCAGCCTTCCTTTGGTTGCTGTATGCAAATGTATTTACATTTTCTTCTCCCTCCTCCCGTCCTGTGGCTCCATCGCTCTGAGGAGGTGGTGACTGCCATTTTGCTGAACTCAGCTCAGACAAAATGGAGGCTTTGGGGGAATCTGTCACTGCCACAGCCTGCGCCTTCTAAAATTGAAGATCATCGCCTTTTATAAAAAAAGATGATAATTCTGAGGATTAAAAAAAATAAATAAATCAGCATACCCCATCCTAAAAGGTGGAATCTCCTTTGTTTTCCTGTGAACACAAGGGTGCAGTTGTGTTAATGTCACTGCCGAAATGTAAATGCTAATGCACCTTGCACTGTGATGTATTGCCAGAAAAGACACTGAATTTCAAATCACCGAGCCCGCTGTGTGATACGGGGACGTAACTTAGCCATTCATCTTTATTTGAAGCAGCCTCTTCCTAAAAGCTCACTTAGAGAGATTCCCAGTTGCCATTAGAAAAGCAAAATAAAATTAATCTAAATCGTTCTAACTTTATCTTAGAAAATTAATGATGGATGGAAGAGGGGGGTTATAAAGGTTTAATAAGAACTGGTCTGGAATACAGTGTATATTCTAGAGCCTGTGATTATAGTGGTAATTTAGCAGATTGTATCACTTCCTATCTCTGCCAAAGGATGTTTCACACCATTTAAAATGCACAGTACTCCCTTCAGAGACAGGTTGTTCTGGAATAACTCAACAGCCAAAGAAAAGCCGTGTTATTTCACTCCTCTCTTTATCGATTGCATGTGTGCGATTGCGTGTGTGCGCGTCGTCTTCTCCGCGATAGCACCAAGTTTCATGCTCGTTTCTGTGTTCGTGTGTCAGCCTCCTCAGAGACAGACAATACCAAAGATGGAAAGTCACGAAATCTATTCAGAATAGGGCTTAAGTGCTGAAACCGGAGAGCCTGTATGAAACAAAGCGTGAACTGGCCCTTCCTCTGAAAGGTGAATTAAAATAAATTTGGTTTTGAACAAGTTATCCAAACTCTGAGAGCTCCTTTTTGTTTCTCATTTTGAAGAGGAACAAAACAGTGAGATAAGGACAAATCTTAGTATTTTTTTTTATCCAGCAAAGGTGATTTGGGAATCTCTAGACCAAAGGGATTGACATTTGAATAAATTGCATGCCTGTGATGTTTCCAAGACGGAGGATGCCTGGTAGTGTGCAAAAGCATGAGCCAAGCTGATCTGTAGTTCAGGAATTTGCTGTATTTAAATCCGTGCAGGGTACGATCTGACATTCCCTTTGACGTTGCTGCCTCTCTTTCTTACAGGCTCTTTGCTGCTAAGTGCAGTGGCTGCATGGAAAAGATCGCCCCAACAGAGTTCGTGATGAGAGCCCTGGAGTGTGTTTACCACTTAAGCTGCTTCTGCTGCTGCGTTTGCGAGCGACAGCTGAGGAAAGGGGATGAATTTGTTCTTAAGGAAGGGCAGTTGCTCTGCAAAAGTGACTATGAAAAAGAGAAAGACTTGTTGAGCTCGGTCAGCCCAGACGACTCAGACTCAGGTGAGCTTTCCCACACCTGCTCTGACTGGAAAAGCCACAAGTGTTTGTGAGGTTTCTTACAGAAAAGCAAATCCATTTTCACATCCACTTCACTTAGGTGCACATGCCGCCCATGCAAAATAGCAGGCACAGCTAAAATATCCCTACTTGCCGTCGGTTCTCCCTGGCTTGACTCCCTTCCTTAACCTGCTGCTTAGTAAAGGACAAAATCTCTTTTGTTTTCATCAAAGTATTTTTCTGCAAGATGGCAAAATGTGAATCAGACTGACCTCAGCCACCTGAGGCCTCGTTCAGCCTGTGCTGTTTTCCACAGGCGTTCATTCACCCACTTCACGTTTTTCAGGGGATCTTCTGCACGTGCACTTTCAGCACCGCGCTAGGAGAACGGGCAGAGCAGTCATATGATTTTTAAGAGTATTCCCTCTGCCAGTCACAAGTGGTAACTTTAAGAAAAGCTGCGAGTACAACACAGAAGTACCGAGGAGGATCTGACGGGAGGCGAGCGGTGGGTCTGCGCAGCAATGGTGTGGCCCTGCAGGAAGCTGGGGTAGCGTCCGTTTGTCCTGCTGGCCTCTCCACTCCCGTCAGGGCAGGCAGGGGGCTCACACAAAAATTAAAATAAGAAGCAGTAACTCGAATGGGGAGTTTAGTGGAGTCTGTCTCTGGATGCGTTCAAGCCAGCTGCAGTGCTTGGCTCTCCGGGCTGCCATCCCGGCCCCCCGGCAGCCGGGCTCTCCCGGCTCCGGTTCCTGGTCACCGCTGTCCCCAGCCGGCTCTGCTGTCAGCCCAGGAGGCACCGGCGTGGGGACCCCAGGTACCTGCACTCTGGTTTTGATGCTTCGTGTAGTAGAGGAGTGAGGCGCTCAGGGTTTGACTGGTAGGGATCTCCAGGAGTGCCCCAGAGGCCCTGCGCCGCTCCTGACGACTGCAGACTGTTCAGGACCAAGGGACAACAGTCTCCGTGTCTCACTGAAAGGCACTGCCACTACCCGCAGCCTGACCCCCTCTGCAGAGGCACCTGGCTTCGAACACTGCGACTGCCAGACTCTGCACCGCTCGGCCCAGGAGTTAAGGCCGTTGCCATGCGGAGGTTTTGCCGCCTCCTAAGTAAGACAGGGGAGCCCTCACGCCTGATAGCAGCTGATGGGTGTCTTCCCCAATGGGTGTCTTCCCCAAGTTCTTCACGGTGGTGGAGAAAGATGCTTCCTTTTCTCCACCCATTTCCTAGGGAAGGGTTTAAAAGAGAGTGAGCAAAACCCGCTTGCGGTCCGCCCAGGCCGGGAACACAGTCCTGCACAGCACAGAGAGTTCACACACGCGCAGGAGCCCAGGGGCTCTCCTGGTGGTTCCAGTGAGAGCTGGTGTTCGGACTCACAGGCAGTTCCAGGAGAGGCGAGATGCCCCTTCCCCAGCCTCAGAGGCTGGAAACCTCCCACTGCCAGCGTGCCCTGGCTGATCCCAGGGCGAGAGACAGTGTGCATCGATTGCTGCCAGACATCATAAGTGCGCGCTTGTTTCCCAAGAAAATGTCTAAGAAAGTCAACAATTACCATTCCATTAACTGTACAAATGACATGAATGTTTGCCTCTGGTTTAGGGGAAAATGCATTATTCCAGAGCAGTAATTACCCTTGCTCTCTAATCCGAGAGCCATGTTCTGCACATTGCTGAAGTTTCTATTTTCCTGTCGGGAGTGCTGCAGGCAGAGGTCACTGCTGACGCGGCAGACATGCGGGACCAGGCCCTTTCCTTGAGCAGTGTCGGTTACTGCCAGGCTGCACGTGCAGGACCTGGAGCGCCTGGCGCTGTAAATCTCCTCGTCGCAGGGTTTGGGCTCTGTGGGTTAGCCCGAGGCACGCGAGCTCCCTGCTTGCCCTTCAACGTGTCATCCTCATCGGCAGCTTCGGCATCCCGCCGCCCACCCGCCTGCGCCCCGGCAAAGCCCCCGTGCGAAGGGGCTGTGGGGCTGCCCCGGCACTGGGCGCTGGGCTCCTCCTTCCCCGCTGCCCAGCGGGTGCCTCTGAGACCCACTCTGCCGCGGGTGGGCTCCCCTCAGCGCCAGAGACCCCCCCGGGTTTTCTGTCCTGGGACCACCGTGGCACAAACCAGCCGTGGCTTCTTCCATTTCTGTTCCCCTTGGCACAAGTTTCTTACTCCTGGAGATGCTTTTTTTTTCCTTATTATTCTCTGTTAGCCAAACCCAAACCTGAAAAACGAGTTGACAAATGAAATGGGATGTTTTGTCTCCCGTTGTCTAACACATGGAAAATGCCCATCTCCCAGGTGCCTGCATGAGAGCAAACGATTTCACGTAGCCCTGGCTGAGAGTGTGTCCTTCTCCAATCAAATATTTATCCACTGGACACAAAAGTAACTCTCCAATGAGCAATATTAATCCTCACAAACCTTTCCTTAGAAATGGCATGCTGGAAAGTTAATAATGTCATGGTTATTAAAATGAGTGAACTTCTCTTTAATCATTAGGCAAAAGATGCTTATTAAAGTAAAAGGTGATTAGATTGCTAGGTGCATAATAATCAGGCCCTAAAATGAATTAAAGTCTAATTTGTTAATTCCCCAAACGTAATCTTTGGGTATATAAAAATTGCAGTGTGTTTCTTCATCTTGAAGTCCCTATAATAGTGTATTAATGTTTTCTGGAAAAAAAAAAAAAATCCGTAGTCTGATGAAATAAAATATGCTGAGTTGAAAAGTTGTCTTTCACAACAAAATTTGTACTTACTCTTCAACCTTTGCCACTGAGACTTCCCAGCAGAATATACTAACACGGAATATCACCAGATTGTACGAATATTCAGAATTTAACTATAGAAAATACAAACAATCTAGCCGGTCTGCACAAGCATGTTTATACTCATATGTGCTTACCAGGAAAGAGAAATTTGTGTGTGCGCATACAGACACTTGGTGATACACAGAGAAAGAATATTGATGTTTTCTGTGGGATACAGAAATGAGGTGGCACAGATTATATTTAATATTGTCTCTAGAGCTTCAGAATACCCAGAGCAATGACTGGAATCTGCACTGTATTCAGCTGAACAGACTCAGAGGCATTTTTGCGTTTGCTCTGTTTCGCTGCCATAGCGGCGCGGGCAGCGGCACCTGCCTGCAGCTGGTGCCTCAGGGGCACAAGGGGCTCTGCTGCGGAGGGAGAGGTGGGAGTCTGTCCGTCCGGCTGCAGCCGGTGAGCACAGAGGGGCCATGTGGTGCCGGAAGGGCACAAAGTCTCTCTGTGCCAATTCCTGGAAATATTGAAGCATGTTCTGAATTTCCGTCCCCTGATCAGTCCCGTGGCCTCACTGAAGGATTAAACACATTTTTATGCTGTTGTGGCGTTTGATTCAGGGCGTGCACACAAATCCAACATAGTGTCTTCCTGCCCGCTTTAGGTATTGTGGTAAACGTGGGATGAGAGTTGAACCTGTTGACTCGTTTGTCAGCTGAAGAGCAGTTCTCAAACACCCTGTGATCTTGGTGTAAAAGTAATATTTTATATCCTGTTTGTTTTTCACCAGTTAAAAGTGATGATGAAGATGGAGATGTTAAGCCCACCAAAGGACAAGTCACCCAAGGAAAAGGAAGCGATGATGGGAAGGACCCAAGAAGACCTAAACGACCGAGGACAATCCTCACTACGCAGCAGAGACGAGCGTTCAAAGCGTCCTTTGAAGTGTCCTCCAAGCCCTGTAGGAAGGTAGGTGCTTCACCAGGGACATGAAGTCAGCTCTGACACCAGGCCACGGGGGACAGGCTCAGGCCACAGCTCCAGGGAGCCTCTGCCCCTGGCCGGGACGCAGCAGGTGCCTGGGGGTGAAGGCAGCGGCCGGGCCGGGCACGGCAGCGCTCACCCAGGCGCCGCTGGCAGCTTAGGACCAACCAGTTCGCATTACATCTGGATGTTCACCCCCAGCGTGCAGAGCAGCTCCGTGACTGATTCCTGCTGAACATCACTATTCGGTTCTTATAAAACACAAAATAGGCCTTGGCTATCAGGGCCCAGGTGAACAAGTGGCTTTTGCCCTTCTGCTTCCCGCCGCAGAGGGAGTCGCCGTCCGGTGAGGCGGGTGCTCAGCTTTGGTCCCACTACTTGTCCTTCCAGTCTTGCTTTTTTGTGAAGCTTAACCCTGCTGTCGGTCTTGTAGCAGCTAGGGAAGGGTATGATGTACTGATTCACTGGTGAAAACCAAATCTTCGCGAAAAGCAGCCCAGGTAACTGCTTCCTTCTAAGTTTGGTTGGGAAGGAATGGAGTTGCATCCTGGAAGCTGTCACTTTACAAAAAATGACATTGTCCTGCTGACGTACAAAGTCTATCTTTTGGGACAGTGCAATGTGCCTTTTTGCCATTTTAAAGTATGAAATTGTACCTCAACAATATGAAAATTGTTTACAGACAATTTTGTATCTTTTTGCACAGAACTGTTTTATTGGTAAAATTAAAATCATGAAACAACTTAGTGCCATTTTACACAGCTCAGACTATTTGTATTTATGAAACTGGTTGCGACATGAAGGACAGAACTTGAATATACAATGCAAAAATATGAGGAATTTTTAAAGTAATTCTGTACGTGCAGTTTTTACTGTAAGAACAGGCCTATTCCTCCTAACATAACTGATTAAGGTTTTGGGATTTTTAAATATAAAAAATTACATCATTCAACATTTCCTCCTGTAGGTCAGAGAAACACTAGCAGCTGAAACGGGACTGAGTGTGCGAGTTGTCCAGGTCTGGTTTCAAAACCAAAGAGCAAAGGTAGGTTATTCTTCAGGTTCTCAGAAGAAAAATGCAAATTGTCTTCCGACACAGATGTCCCCTCCCCTAAATGCAGCACAGACCACAGGGATCCCCGGGCCTGAACTGTGCGTATTTTGCATGCGCTGCTGTTTCCATCCCTACAAGAAAGGCAACGTCCAGACAGACGTTACGTTCGTGTGCTCAAAGCAACGTGAGCTTAGGAGTAAATTTTGCAAGCAGATATGAACTGCAACCTGAAATGGTTAAGCTTAGAGATGAAACTGAACCCACAGTGGTGTGTGCATCGATATAAATGGTCTGTATTAATTGATTCGATGTTGGCAGAGAGTTTTGTAAGGAAACAAAATCGTTGCATTCGCCACCATGAGATTGTTCTGTTCTTCCTCTTTTATGCAGATGAAAAAACTAGCACGAAGGCATCAGCAGCAGCAGGAGCAGCAAAACTCGCAGCGACTAGGGCAAGGTAGGGGATTTATGATGAAGGCAAAGCAGGGGGAAAAGAGTCTGCGAGGTTTCTTGCAGTGCCGTTCCCCCCGATGGCTGACGTGCGGGCATCATGGCGTGCGCCTGCCGCCAGGGGAAACAGAGGTGCTGTGTCGGAGCGGCCCCCTGGGGCACCCCAGAACTGACCCTGGGCCAGACCCACACAGAAGCTGTCACCTTCTTTCTAGAAGAAATGTGCCGTGCAGAGGCGCTTTCCCTGGAGGGAATCTCCGGGAGGCTCCCCCTGGGGAGATCCTCCGGTGGTTTGCCCCTGAAAGAGGGGCCGCGCTCAGCTGGGTGCCCGCGGGCTCCGTGCCAGGGCACCGGCATCGCTGCCACCGCCGAGGCACGAGCACCCACTGCTCCCGGGCGCTGCACAGGGGCACCAGGGCTGGCCCTGCTGCTCCCCAGGTGCTCCTGGGGTTCTCCAGCTCCCGAGGCCTTGCGGCCGCAAATCCTCCTCTTTACACAGGGCCAGAAAGGCTGGTACCAGCAGAAGTGCGAGGGTAGTAGGGCCACGTCTCGCACAGGACAGGCTGTGGGACGATAGAGCCCAGCACCCGGGAGCTGCAGAGATGGGATAGTCAGAAATTACAAGTCTTTCAACTTAGGCAAGGCGTGGAAGGCTCCTGAGTGACAGGGCACCCCGATACCGCGCTCGCTCTGCGCCGGGGCTCGGGATCGCCACCGGTGCTGCTCTCTGCTCCTCTCTGCTCCTCCGCAGTGACTGTGCCCTCCTGTTTGCTTTGCAGAAGTGATGTCCAACCGAATGGAAGGGATGATGACATCTTACACACCACTGGCACCACCGCAGCAGCAGATTGTAGCAATGGATCAAAGCAGTTATGGCACAGACCCATTTCAGCAGGGTCTTACCCCTCCACAAATGCCAGGCGACCACATGAACCCTTATGGTAAGGCACGCGTCATTCTGCCGCATCAGGAATAGCAGGGTTCTCACGCTGTTCACACACCCCAGGTTCAGTAGACTTACTTGTTTTTATAATATTTTTTCTGGGATTTGTACTAGGGAACTTGTACTGGTCAGTTTTGTGTGTGTGTTTTCTTGTACACATAAGGGGGTAGAAGAGAGCCCACCCCAGGCTCTGGACACCCTTCAGAACTATTTCACAGTATAATTCTGATAAATGATAAACCAAGCAATATCACCTCTCCAGGTCCTCTTTTTTAAACTGCTATCCAAGACACTGAAAAATAAACAGCACCAAATTCTAGCTCCCTCACAAGTTCTTCCTTTTTCTTAGAAGATTTGGGGAAAAAGTGCCTTCAGTGAAGTAATCTATTCATTCCAAAATTAATGAGGACTCCTGTAAGATCCCTCAGATTGGATGCATGGATTTGCTAAAGAACAGTTCTTGAGCTATTAAGAGATGTGTCACCACATAACATTTCTCCTGCATAATTTTATTCTCTGCCCAAAATCAGGGTGATGGTTTGCTTTCACCATTTCCTGACCACACACCATCAGGTCAATAGATACACCAAACGCATCACAAGCATTAAATGCTTAATAATTGATTCTGGATAATTGCGGTGTGGCATTTAAATAAAATTTAAGAGGATTTCTCAGACTGTGAGTATTGGCCTTGCTGTAGCCCACGAGGGCCTGTCACGTCAGACCAGGCACACTTCACCGTAGAGCTCCTCGTGCACATCACCTCCATCCGCACGGCCGCGCAGGCCAGCGAGAATTCTGCTTTGGGTCTGGTTATTACTTTTCCCACTGAGACAAGCTCACGGTGCACACCAGGCAATTCAGTAAATCCTGTAAGGAGCTGAGGGCGTCTGAAGTGCCGGTGAGCATTAGATGGCTTGTGATTTTGTTACTAACAATTTGCTTGGCTTTCTAAGCAAAACTCCTTCGGAGGCAGGTTCTGTGCTCCAAAACGGGTGCAGGCGATGGCACAAAGCCCTTTCAAATGAGTGCGTGAGGAAAAAGAGCCGGACTAACACTTTCTTAGTGCTCACAGAACCTAAGGTAGAGCTTTTCCTGGTACCTAAGAGTCAAAGTAAGCTGAAAGTTGCTAAGGGAAATAAAAGGTGCTGTTCCAAACCAGCTCCAAAAGGTGAATTTTCTGAAACGAAAGCATGTTTCCAACTGTAGCTCACCTAAGGTGGGGGAAGCTGAGTCTCCTCCTGGGTCCCATCACGTACGTAGATCTGTCTTGTACCCTGTGTGTAAGTGAAGACTGTTACTGGTCACGGCTTTCAGACCGCCTTCCCCTGTCGCGGGCACTCGGTGTCTGGTCCCACCTTCCTCGGCGGCCCCGGTGCCCCTGCGAGTGCCGGATCCCAGCTCGCGGGAGGCCGGGACCTTCTCCTCCCATCAGCCAGGACTCTTTAATGCTGCTGACCGAAGCACAGATTAAACCCTGGCCGGTGTGAGCGGCACTGCTGCCAGCTGCACTCGGCAGTTGGTTGCTCGCCTTCCTCTTTGTAAGTCAGACCCTTAGAACGAAACTACCTTAACGTGTAACGAGCAACCCAGGAGCGTTCCCTTTGCTGCAGCACGTGAGCATCCGTGTGTACTGTGTCCTCCTCTGGCCGCACAGAATCCAGCTTAACGTGTACGTTTCATTTGCAGGAAACGACTCCATTTTTCATGATATCGACAGTGATACCTCTTTAACTAGCTTGAGCGACTGTTTTCTTGCCTCTTCCGAAGTTAACTCCATGCAGGCTAGAGTAGGAAACCCCATTGACAGGCTGTACTCTATGCAGAGCTCGTATTTCGCCTCATGAAAATAAAAGAAAACAAACAGCCGGCGTATATTTAGCCAGTGACTTTTTCCAGTGCAGACTCTACAGCCATATGTTGCCCAGCTCTTCCTTCACAGTGACTCCTGCTGCCTCTGGACTGCAAAGAGTATTTTTAGGAAGACTGTATCTGTGTGCATATATGTGTATGTATGTGTATATATATTAATACCGACCTACATACATACATATATATAGAAACAAAACGCATCCACCAGTCCCGTCCCCTTGATTCTCAGCTTGCACCAGACCACGAGACAAGCACGGAAGGAACAGAAGACCCTGCTCGTCAGCAGCCTTTGGTTTGGTTTGAGCTCATCGTTGTAAAGGAAATGGATTTTGCGGAAAGCTAGACCTTTTCCTCCTTCCTCTCTTCCTTTCTTTTGGATGTTTAAACTTTTTTTTTTTTTAAAGCCACTGATACTGACATCAGTCGACCATATGACAAATAAATCAAAGAAACTGGAGATTCCTCCCTTTTCTTACTGCATGATTCATACTATGTTGTGGATAAATTGCCATTTGAACTGTGAGAAGTTAATGTAAATGTGACGTTCAACATTTGTTTCCTTTCTACACTTTTTCTACATAACCTAGATCTGCTCATTAGTTTATAGCCCTTATGCATATGATACTGAGGAAACTGGTTCGCAGTAATATTTGTGGAGAAAGCCAGTGATTTCATAATAAGGAAGGTCTGCGACCCTGGAGAGGAGATGCATGTTAGGGACAGAGGCATTTAGGTTAGTATTGATCTTAAATAATTAAAACTAAAGGTGCTTACGAGACAGAGTTTTATTTAATTTTTTTTTTTTGAAGTGTGAGAATAAAACATTTACATTTGTTTGTAAGTATTGCAGTGCCAAATTTCAAGTCTAGACCATGATTGGCAAACATGTGTTGTTCATTCTGTTCTGTTTATGTTTTGCATGAGGCATAAATGTGCTATGCTCCATTGTCCATCTGGAATAATTAAGCACTCCTTTAGTTAATTATCTCGCCTCAGCAAGAATCTATGATATACAGTTCTAGCCTGAACCATCAGAAGTCCTGAAATGCGCACCAACGGGCGGAAAAAGAAGTGTGAGAGAGATCGCAATGGGAGGTTTAGGCATGTTGAGCTGGAGTCTAACCCCCGTCCTGCAGGTTCCACGCTGACGGGACTCCCGTGTTTGCGATAAATACTCCAACTAACCTCTTAGTGCAAATGTAAGAAGAGCAAGTAGACAAACCGAAGGGAACGTCCCAGCTGAAGTCTGAATGTCTCAGATGCTGAAGTTTGAGCATATGTCATATAGGTTTTCGTAGGGCATAAAATATCATAAATAATAATAGTATAGTTATAAATATTGCCTGGTGATAATTATAATGTGGAGAGACAGACAAGTACGGTCATGGCTCTTAGTGGAGAAAACTTCATGGGGAAAATTTGCCAGGGTAATATCAGTAATTATAGGGTGTGTTCAAAATAGAGCTCATGGGGAAAGATTGGCAGGATAGGCACTTTCTTAAATAAATACCTTTAATATATTGACCATAATAGCTGAAAACAAGTCCAAAGCATTGGTTAATCCGACTCCCCCAGGCTGAGGACTGGTCCCAGGCCAGCGCTGCCGAGACTCCCGTGGGGCTCGGCACCCTCTGCGGGACCGGGGACTCCTGTCAGGGGGCGGCCAGAGCGGGGCCCCCCAGCGCCACGGCAGAGGGGTGC